TATTATTTTTAATAACATAAATAAAAAAATAAAACAAAACAAAACAAAACAAAACAAAACAAAACAAAACAAAACAAAACAAAACAAAACAAAACAAAACAAAACAAAACAAAACAAAACAAAACAAAACAAAACAAAACAAAACAAAACAAAACAAAACAAAACAAAACAAAACAAAACAAAACATATATATAGCTGGTACATTTTCTCAATTCACCCTCCAAAACTCATCTCATCAGGCTATGAGCTCTCATGGTCACGTCTTCAGCTCTAGATTGTTGGTATACTCACTCTTCCTCGATCCCGACCGGTCGTCCGAACAGCATTTCCAGGAAACACTCCAGCAGACCCTGTGAACCCTGGTGCAGGTACAGCTGATTGGCCAGCAGTGAAAACCCATGATTCTTCAGGAACTTCTCCTTCTGCTCTTTCTGAGTGCGGCTAAAGTAGGCGTCCAGCAGCTACATGGATAAACGTACATGTTTGTGTATCCATGCATGTATGACATATTACATAAAAAATAAATAAATTAAACCCATTACGCAATCTCCCCTCTTACCAGAGTGGTCAATAAAACTTGTGAATCAACTAACAAACCATTTTCATATCAGCTTAAATAAACAAACCAAAGCAGCAGATGTGATAAACAGTTATGGATAGAGAGATAGTGAAAAGGCCAGTCATTTTATTGTCCTAAAGAAAACTGTTTATGTTATATTTTTTCATTTGTCCATAAACATTAAATTATCTACTCCTCTTGGGTTTAAATTTTTAGAAGTTTCAAGGGGTCTTGAATTTATGTATTCTCCTAAAAACACTATTTGTAAAAAAAAATATATATACTATTTTGTCATCACTAAATTAATTCTGTGAAGTGACTCACAAAATAATTTTTTTAATGGACTCCTGATATTTTTTTTCAATTAAGAACCCCCAAATAAGCAATTATTAATAATATTATTTAAATGTAATAATATATTTTTCAAATTAAGAAGAGGGAAAGTTTTGACTACTACTATTAAAGGGGTCATCAGATGCAAAATTCATTTTTACATGTTGTTTGAACTTAAATGTGTGTTGGCAGTGTGTGTACACAACCCCCCTATAATCATAAAAATCCCCCCATTGCTTTTTTTTTTTTAAATCCCCCAAAATAATACCCCCTTTCTCAAATCAAGCCATTCTCAGACTCTGGCCAGATGTACGTCACACAGACCCAGGCCCCTCCCACGAGTCAACTATTGACTGACACTGGTGTTTTAGCACAGACCCGCTCTGAGTGAGCTGTCATCAGTCCGCCACTGTTTCACCGCCGGAGCAGATGTAGACAAGAATGGCTCCGAAGCGATTGAGGTGTTTTGTTGTTGGATGTAATAATGAACATAGCAGTCGTCATTTACTCCAGACATCTGAGCCGCTAAAGACGCAGTGAATTACATTTGTTTTTTAAGAGAATGTGCCCCCGATCTACCTAAATGCGTCTATGTTCGCGCGAATCATTCATGATCCAGCTTCACCTACAGAAGAAG